GTCCAGATTCCTGGGTGGCAGATCTGTGTTCCGGGTGGTGACGGGGTATTTACTCAAGAAAAAAGTGAAAATTCAGCACTAAGTATTGTGAAAAGTAGAACAAAATAAAATAGAGTAAGATCAAAATCTAGAAATTAAAAAAAAATGAGGAATGCAAAGGAAAACAGAAACATACACTTCATTTTTTTATTCATGTTTTTTGTAGGAATGGGATGATTAGAAGGAAAGATTATTCTGGGTGGTTGGTGGTCAGTAGAAGGAATTGTTACAGGGGACCACACATCAAAAATCATGTGCCTTGACCAGGCAGGACCCCACCTGCCTTCCCCACCTTCCAAGTCTGACTGAAAGACAGGAGCAATCATCAGGGCCCCCTGTGACCTGCTCCTGCTGTTAATCACTGGACGTGTCCTGCCTCGCTTCTCCCTACCCCACAAGCAAACAAAAGATCCAGAGCCAAGATACCTGGGGTGTCTCTCCCGGAGAGGGTCAGCTTGCTGGGCAGGACACCCACTCAGCCACTCACAGAATCAGTGTGGCTGGGAAGATGTCTTATAAGGCCTTAAATGAAGAACTGAGGTCTCCCTGAGGAGGGAAAAATTCCACCTGTGACTACAGGGTTGGCTCCTGCCAAAGCTGCCTGCTTGTCTGCAGGCCTATCCTGTGGACGATAGACTTGGCAGCCCCACAAGCACACAGGATGGTTCCTTGAAATGAGTGTTGTGTAGCCGTGTGTCCTGTCAGCTCTGTCTCTCTGGTACGACCCTGCCCCTTACACCCTTCACCTTTGATGACACCTATGCTGTATTATGGTAGTCAAATACTTCAGGCAGGAGCCTTGAGGTTGCTCCCAGCGCAGCACCAACCCCAGCACACGGGGTACAGTCTCTGCCCAAGCCACGTGCATATTGCTAGTTGTCTGTGATGAGTCTCAGGTTTTTGTTTTGTTTTGTTTTTGACAGAGCCTTAAGCTATTGCCCTGGGTAGAGTGCTGTAGCATCACAGCTCACAGCAACCTCCAACTCCTGGGCTCAAGTGATTCTTCTGCCTCTGCCTCCCAAATAGCTGGGACTATAGGCGCCCACCACAATGCCCGGCTATTTTTTGGTTGCAACCGTCATTGTTGTTTGGTGGGCCTGGGCTGGATTCGAACCCACCAACTCAGGTGTATGTGGCTGGCACCAAATTGAGTCTCAGATTTTAACTAAGAAAGTAGAGGAGGCAAGAAATTTCCCAGCCAAGGAGCCCTCAACAAGTCCATCCTCACCCAGTGATTTTTTTGGGACAGGAGCTTCCAGTGTTCTTAGTGCTCATTGCTCTGTATGACTTTTTAAGACTTTTTAACCACATGGGGCTTTTCTTTGTTTGTGTGACTTGAGAATTTTCCTCAAAATGGAGGAGGTAGTGAGAGCTACAGTGACAAATGTTACCTGACCCACGAAAGTATGTCTAGGGTAGGGTTCCAATCTCCAGACAGGTGTGGGGCACCCCACCTTTTCCAAGGAAGTGTTCGTCAGTCCAGCGTTTCTGAGCACTGTGTCCGCCTGTCCTGTCCTGCCTGCTGATTATTTATTGTCATTGTTATGATAATATCAGGTCACAGATGTCACTGGGCTTTGAGTGGAATTGAGCTCAATGGCAAAATTAGGCAACTTGAGCTCCAAAATATCCTGAATGGGAAACCTCTAGCTCCCTGCTGTGTGCAGCCAGGAGAAATGTTGCCTCAGCAACCGCCATGAAATCCTAGTCTGTCAGCCTCACAGCTAAGTGATCTGGGGTCCTTTCTTTCTCGAGTTTGAACTATTTAGTAAAAACTCAAGCCTTGAGAAATGGCCTTCAGAAATTGAAAACGTATCAGAAAGGAGGAATGAGGAAGGGAAGACAAAAACTTTCTTCCTTTTTCTAACTCATTCTACTGGTGAATGGTAACTAATGAAAGTCAGGAGCCATTGTCTAGATGAACTGGGACAGAGAGGACAGTGCACGGCCTTGGAGCGAGTGTGTCTCCCCGCACGCACATTGCAGGGCAGGGCGGAGAACCCCACTGAGGCATCAGCTGAGTGCTCTTAGCTCCGTGCTTGCAAATCAAAAATTAGCCACTCTTGGGTAGCTTGCCTTTTGGGAATTTTGAAAACCTAAAATGTTTCTTTAAAAATCAGCTCTTAAAATATTAAACACAATTCTAGGAAAAAAGGGCCAAGCCAAGTCACACTGACTTCCACATCTATACCCTTCACAGTTTGCTAAAATGGAAACTTTGGGTTGTTGGAATGTTAACCTGGAAACCAAGGATGGGGGGAGGTGTCTGTGGGGCTGCCCCAGCTACCAAGCTTTCTCAGCATTCTGGACCCCATGGGGTGCAGGACCGCTGCAGCCATGGCCTTCAGGCAGCCTAGAGCAATGGCCAGGGCCCCTCTTGCCACAGGAGCTCACTGCGCAGGGAGAGGAAGGCAGGATGCCTGCGGGTGAATGTCAGCTTCTCGGAGATTCTAGCCATCACGGAGGCTTCTGTAGATGATTTCCTCCACGGCGGTACATCCTCCCCGTATAGTTTACTGTCAGAAGTGAAAGGAGGCCACCTTGTCAGCACATGAGTGAACTGGACAAGTTAATTTGCTCTCCTGAGCAGTCCAGATGAACACATGGTGCGATGATTTAGAACTATAATAAGATAGACCACTGTGCCCTACCAGATTAGCAGAATTTTGCAAGCCTGAAGATGCTAAGTGTTGGAGAGTAGATGGAATGACAGGAACTCTTCCACACAGTGCTGGAGGCAGGGGACCTAGTCCCACCTCGGAGCACAGTTCAGCATTGTCTGACAAGGAGGAAGGTGGCTGCTCTCAGCCACAGCCAGGTCCACTGGCCACGTGTGAGTGTGTCCACGCTGCCCTGTCTACAGAGCCTGCAGCTGGAAACTGCCTGAATGTTCATAAACAGTAGGATGGATAAGCAGACTAATTCTCATACATGTAGGAGATGGATAAACTACAGCTACACACAGTGAATCTTGAAAACAGGATGTCCAGAGATGGAGGCGGGTCACACGACTCCATTTACCAGGAGGTTAGAGCTGGGTAAAAGGAGACTGTTGCTGAGGAATATACATATGGACGCCCAGCCTTACACGTGACGGCAGAAGGCAGGATGTCTGTCAGGTAGGAGGGCAGAGGCTGGGCGGGGAAGGCCAGTGCGCCGTGCTTTAGAATCATCCTCTAAACCAGTGGTTCTCAACCTTCCTAATGCCCTGATATATTTTCATTTTACAAAGGGGTCGCAACCCACAGGTTGAGAACCGCTGCAAAGCTGTGCTATGGCTGTGCACAGCTTCATCTGGTTGTCTCTCACATGCAGCCAAAACTAAGTGGAAGTGGTTCTTTCAGAGGGAGTTCCTCGGTCATGGTATGTTGTACCTGCCCACATGGCCATGTGGTTCCATCTTCATCTTGGTTATTGGGCTCCGTCCTCTGCACTCACCTTACCATCAGCTTTCTGCAGGTGAACTCAGGTGACCGAACCACCACATGCACTGGAGACCACAGTGGGGGTATAACAAACCCCCTTTCTGCTCAGCTTCTTGGGTGACCCTTTTAGCAGTGGCCTTTGGGGGCTTGTAAATGGGATGCCCCACAAGTCATCAGCACAAGCAGGGGCTTACTGCAAGCCAGGGGCTCCTCCAGGCACACCATAGGGCCTCCCCTAGGCCAGCAGGCAGCCCTTCCAGGGAAAGGCAGAGGCTTCACCTGTAGCCCAAGTGAAGGAGATGTATGTGGTGGGCTACCTGCCTGGGCTTGTGGCTGGCAGCAGGAGCAGGGGGACTGGGCCACCAGGAATGCCAATGGTGGTTAATGGCCACTTGCGGATGGCAGGCCTGGCGGGGTGGGAGCTTCTCTGTCCCCACAGTGCTAAGCAGATAGACCTATAGTGGCAGATCCCTGGGAAACACTGCCTGTCTGACCTGTACAAAGGCAATGGGAGAACCTGACAGCTTTCCTCAAGTCTGCCCTCCTGATGGGGAAAATACCCTCTGGAGAGATTAAACCGGCACTGAATTCCTGCTTCATCCCCAAATCGATGTGAAGCCAAGTAACATGGGTGCCAACTAGACATCTAACCTCATCACAGGACTTGCCTCTTGCTTTACAATTCACATTTAGGGCCCCGTCCTAGCAAACTAACCCATGGGTCTAAGCGGCATTTCATCAAAAATGTCACTTTCTACAAACTCACTAAAAGCTGAGCGAGGCGGGACTCATAGGAGAGGAAGCCTGGAGAGTGCCCTCCTGCTTCTGCGATGGCGCTGATCTCATCCCCGCATCCCGCACAGGTGTCCAGAAAGCCCCCTCCCTTGTCCCTCCTGTGCTGCCTCCTCTCTGCGTCCCTGCAGCTACTGGTGGTCCTCAGGCTGTAGGAGGAGGTAGGAAGAGCTGATGTCACACCTGGAGTTTGCAGGGAGGAAACAAGTGAATTGTTTGGCCATTTCACAAAATAGTCTCTCAGGTCCCCTTTATATATTATAGTCTTGTCACATGAAACTTAATCAAAGTACTCTCACAGGTTGTGTATCCCAAATTCAAAATCCAGAATGCTCCCAAATCTGAAACTTTCTGAGTGCCAATGTGAGATAGTGACACGTTTGATTTCTGACAGTTCAGTGTATAGAAACTTTGTTTCATGTGCAAAAATGAAAATATTGTATAAAAATATGTTCAGGCTCTGTGGGCAAGGTGTGTATGAAACAAATGAATTTCATGTTTAGACTTGGACTTCATCCCCACAATATCTCATTATGTGGGTGCAGATATTCTCAAATCTGAGAAATGTCTGTACCCCCGAGATGGTTCTAGTTTCAAGCATTGCAGGTAAGGGATATTTAACCTGTTTAGTGCTTGGGAGAGTATTTTTGGGATCCTGCTCTGAAGGAGTTGGAATGGAAGTTATAGTAACGAAATTGTCTTTGTAAAGAAACTCATTTCTGTGCCCCCATCTTCTCCGTGTAGGAAGGAGTAGTGTCTCCTGTCGACCTTGACCTGGTCATGTCAGAAGGGCTGGGCATGCGATATGCGTTCATCGGTCCCCTGGAGACAATGCATCTCAACGCAGAAGGTATGCTGAGGGGCTGAGATGGGGGTCTGTGCTATTTAGTGTTCCTGTGGGTCTTCTAAGTAGTCAAATTTGCCTTTGCTTATGACTGAACAGAGACAGCAGCATCTGTAGGAGATGATAGTTGGTCCTTCTAACTCACAGATGCGGCTGGGCCACACAGCTCTGTATGGAGGTGTAAATCCACACTTAATTTGTGTAGCTCAGGGCTCCGTGTACTGAGAATGCTCAGGTGACAGCTCAAAGGAAGAGAGGCAGAGCCATTAAGAGACTTCATGGCATGTCATCCAGCCTTGCAGAAGGGAAAGTTGTATTTTCCTAAGGAAGATGAGGAAATTCTTTACAGAGGCAGGAAAAAAAGACAGGAGTGCTGGCTGACTTAACCCATGGGAACCTCTGCTGGATATATCTTCTGCCTAAATGTGAGCAGCTTCTAAGTCAATTGGTTGAGCCCCAGGTTTCCCTTCCCTTTCCAGAAGCCCAGGGAACCCTGAAGAAGGTGATTCCATAGGCAGGGAACTGGGGTGGGGCAGGCCAGACTTCTGCCCAGAAGCCACCTCCAGCAGGCCTAGCGGGGGGAGTAGGTCTGAGCCAGAATATGGACAGCTTGAAGGACGAGAGGCTTCCAAGAATGAAATTCCATCAACTGGATTTTAAGCAATCGAAAAAGAACTTCATTTGAAAAACCAAGCAACAAAACTATATCATAAGATAAATTTCAAAAGCTATGTATAAAAATCTAGAAATATGTCCCCTGCTTTTCTGTGTTATCATAACTTCTACAGTTATGTAAATTAGTAATCCTAACCTGGAAAACATGTCGAAGGAGAAAGAACATGGAGCATTTTAACAGAGAATATTGAGAAACTTGGACTTATCCGGAAAAAGGTGACCAGAGGAGTCTGTGGACACCTACCTGTCCGTCCATGTCTTTTTTTTTGAAATTTTTGGCTGGGGCCAGGTTTGAACCCACCACCTCTGGTATATGGGGCTGGTACCCTACTCCTTTGAGCCACAGGTGCCACCCTATCGGCATCTTTTGTGAGAGTGGAACTGGAGCAAGAGACCCTGCTGGCAGGCAGACGGACTTCGGCTCAGTACCGGGCAGGGGGAACTTTCTAGTAACTGGACTGATATCCAGAGGGAGGGATGCCCTGTGCAGCCTGGTTACCTGCCTGTGGGACATTCAGATGTTGAGAGGAAACTCATACAGTGAGGGAGGTGTTGGTCAACCTCTTGTTGGTTGACTTCAGTTCTGTAATTCTACACCATCAACTTCCACAGTAAATGAAATATACCTCCCAGTCCTGAAGAATTCAGGACATTTTGCTAGGCATGTTCCCGCACACAGGAAGTGCACATGTGACTTCCTGAGTGGACTGGCCATGTGTGCCCTACAGATGCCTCCCACCCACCACTGTGAGTCACCTGACCATTGAACTCTGCCAAGAGCACCTGAAGGTGCCAGCAAGGATGACCACTGACCAGAGGGCCCCATGTGGACAAGGGGCCCTCACACAAGCAAAATGAGTTTTGAAGTATCATTACATAAAGCCTCGGATAATTCCAATGGTTTTTAACCAGAACCTTACAAGTGGTGAGGATATTTAGGCATTTGAAATGTATACAGACTCTGCCTGTTAACCACCAAGTTTTTCTTTTTTTTTTTTTCCCTTGAGAAAAATAAGATAATTGAGGTATTGTGAGAAATCGATAGGGAGAGAACTGAGAACAGCTTTGACTTTCAAACAAATAGAAACAGAAGCCAATGAAACCAGAAACTCAAGAATCAAGTGAGGTAGCCGGCAGGATGGGGGCCCGTAATAGTTTCAAACACAGCAGGTATGATAAGAAAACCTAATTGGCTTAATATGATCGTGCTGGACGGATGTAGTTTTCCACTTCAGAGCATTCCAAAGACCAGAGCTAGACAGTTATAAGATCTGGCTGAGAACCATGGAAACGTTCATTATTCCTCACAGTGTCACCCAGAATAGATCAAGATTGGAGTTGGGAGAATTTTTCTTTTTTCTGATATTGTTTACATAAAGCCAGCATCTCAGGTGAAGGGTGCTTATTAGTTTTAAAAAGCTATCATTTATCTAGAACTAGTTCAAATATTTTAGAATTCTTTTTCAATCTATGAAAATAGTTCCTAGGAAACAGGAGGCCAACGTGCTTGCTTTGCCTTTTGGCAACTTTTTAAAAGCACCCGCTAAGGACAAGCACTCAGAATACTGGTACTGGCCAGTGGAGTCAGTCGACCTGGCCCCTTCCCTGGCTCTCCCACCCAAGAGCTTGGGTAAAATACTTAAGTTCAGTGCACCTCAGTTTCCCCATCTGTGAAATGGAGACACAGTAGTGACTACCTCACAGAGGTGATGTGAGATTGAACCACATTTATTTAGTCCTTAATAAATGTTGTCTTCATATAGAGTTTTGTCATTTTAACTTACTAGTTTCCTAGATTTTTTTTTTATTGTCCCCCAAAGATTCACAAGTGCATGAGAGAGAAATACAGGATGAATACAGATGAGGGCATTTTTTTCTGTGGAGGAGAGGAACCCCTAGAGCCGGGTACCTGGAGCTTCACTGCCTGGTTTATGTCTTGGGTAAGCTTTAGACTGGCAAGTGGGCAGTGAGAACGCTTCATCTCATCCCCTGGGGGCTGTTTGGGCCCCTCTGTGTTTTGTTCTGCTTAATGAGGATATCTCAGAATCTGGCCGCCCTTGGAAATCACCTCCAGGGGAAGAGGATGTTTACTTACCATTTTATCTCACCAATTTCCTCTTATGTGTAGACACTTGTCTTTTTTTAATAGAGGTTCCTATACCTGGTGGTTTGGTTCCTTTGTGGGCAGCTGTTGTTTGCAGTGGAAACAGCTGGGCTGATGAGGCTGAGATGTGGCAAGTTAGGGACCCCAGATGAGTCCCCCCTCAGGTAGGAATTCAGTCCTGAGCACTTAGATAATGCTCCCCTGTGCTTTGAGGTCTTTTCATCTTCCTTAATGAGGTCTGGGAAACCCTGTCTCTTAAATGCGGGTGAATTAGGAGGTGGGGGCTCATAAGCTGTGTGCAAACCAGATTCCTCCAGCGTGGGTAGCAATTAGGATTCCTCAAGAAACTGAACATCCAGAGGGTCTCCCAGCAGGTGTGTCCCCCTGTCAGGTCAAGGCTATCCCAGGTCCCTACTCCACAAATGGGAGCTTGAAGGTGTCCAGCCTTCAAGTAGGACCTCAGGTAGGCTGAGGCTCTGGAAACCCAGTGCCTCATCCTTGGGGCTCACAGCTGAAGAATCCCAAGTTAGGAAGCAGCAAGATAAGCCAAATCTAATCTCATGGGAATCAATTCTTTTATCCATTTATTTTTTTCTTTTTCTACATAAGAATCCCTTAAGAAATTATGTTCTTTGTCTTCTAAAAAGCTAAATTCTACCAGGGTTAGAATTGGGGGAACAGCGCTTGAAGGGGTGTGGAAGCATAAAGGGAAAATATGGGAAGGCCAGGTTGGAATAGATAGGGGAAGTGGGTGTGCTACATTTTCCCATTTCTGTCTAAATTAGAATGTAGGAGTCATTCCCACTCAGTTCACCTCTCCTGGTATAGAAAAGCCAAAATTATTGTTGAAAATAACACCTCTCTAAATAGAAGGGGAGGTGTTGCAAATAAGTCACAGTCATAAATTTACTGGGACTTGGTTGTAAATAATAAGGCAGATTCAGGTCCTGAGTCCACACCACTGTGCACTCCCTATGTTTGGAGCACCGGGAGGCCACACATGCATCACCGTGAACAGGTGGTATGGCCTCTCATCCTCACCTCACCACAAACAGAAGGGCTCTTCTTTCCAAGAGTCCAAAGTCTATGTTAACATAAGAAATTTTTGATTTGTTTTTTGAGATGGGTCTTGCTGTTTTGCCCAGGCTGGCCTCAAACTCCTGGACTCAAGCAGTCCTCCTGCCTCAGCCTCCCAAGTATGGGGCTACAGGTGCATGCCACCATGCCCACTGTTAAGATAGAAATTTTAATAGGTTTCCTAAACAATTTAGGAGAGATTATGAATTGTACTGTAAAGAGTTCTGCCACGCTGTCTTCTGTTTTGTTAAATGTTCCTATACAACTCTATGAATCTGATAAAAGGCAATAGGGAAAGAAAGTTCTAGAAAGCCCTTCAGAGATGTGAATGAGTTCACAGAAGAGTGAAAGGTGAACACTTGTTTGAGAATGCAAAGTAATCCAGAGGGAAGGGTGGTGCATGGATCGAATCTGTGGCCTATAGCTGCTGCTCAGGTGGTGGGGAGGGGACTGAGGGGAATCTCAAATCCTCAGGGGACCTCAGGAGAGCTGTCACTTTTCCATAGGTGGGGGGACAAGCAGCTGGGGAACCTGCTCACTTTCTATTCAACTTAGTTCTTGTGTCTCTGTCCCCTACCCTAAAAGGAATAGACTATATTTGTGTCTAGATTTGTCATTCTTAGTTTGAATAAACAACTAGAAAATGTGAAGTAAGCAGTTTCTGAAGGGAGACCAAGGTATGGCTGTTCTCTTCTCCAGAATTGCTGAGCCATCTGCGATCAGGAGCCAGTGCTGGGACATTTAGGGAGCCTTAGCAATTCTGCATTGCCAAGTTAACGTTTTCTAAATGAAACCTCTTCTTTTCAAAAGAGAGTATCCACCAGTTAGTTGCAGGTGCTACTGTCACACAACTTTATATGTTTGAATTTTTTTTACCCTTCAAAATAATTTCTCAGGGAATTTTTGCACACAGAGAGGAGGAGGAAAACTGTTTGAAACAAAATTGGAACCCAGTTAATTTAGGCTTTAATGTCTGTGTAGGTCAATCAAAACCAAGCCCAAAAGGTATTTGTCTTTTTCCTTTCCTTTCTTTTGTTTTTTGAGAACATGCAGCATAGATTGCTTTTTTGTTGTTGTTGTTGTTTTTGCAGTTTTGGGCTGGGGGCTGGGTTTGAACCTGCCACCTCCCGTATATGAGCCACAGGCGCTGCCCAGCATAGATTGCTTTTAGTTTAGGTTAATCATACACAGTCTTTGTGGGGTAGGGGATAGCCAAGTCCAGATCGCGACAAAGTCTGCAGTTTCATCTGTTCCCTGGTTACTGTATGAAGCCAACCCACCCACTGCTGAGTCTTTGTGATTGTGAAAGATGTTGGAAATGGACCAAAGGCAGCTGGCGGGCCTGTCTGGGCTTTATCCATAGGAGGAGAAGGATGTAGTTAACCTGAGCCCAGCACGAAACCCTCTGAACAAATTTTAATTTGGAGTTATGGGATATTCTTGCTGACATTGTGGATTCTTGCTTTCTTACAATTTCAGGTACGTTAAGCTACTGTGACAGATACAGTGAAGGCATGAAACGTGTCCTAAAGACTTTTGGACCCATACCAGAGTTTTCCAGGGCCACGGCTGAGCTGGTTAACCAGGTATGAGACCCCCTGCAGAGAAGCATGCAGGCACAGGCCTGCCGTTGGTGGGCCTTCACTTGTAGCCAGAATCTTGGCCCTTGAAATTGATGGTTCTTCACTCCTAACCTTGTCTGTGCATGGTTCCATCATGTCACCAGAACATCTTAAGAGCACTATGACAAGTGAACCAGTAATTTATCCTGACTTACCTCCCAGGGACTGAGGTCTCTAAAGGTTTGGAAGAAAGCTTATGATAATTGAGGATTGAGTCCCTTTGGTCTTTGAAAGCAATTTATGAGCTGTGTCCAGAAATAGGAACATCTTCATGCTGCTCTGTCTCCTCTTGCTCCTCCCAGGCCCTGTGCAGGAAGGTTCCTGATGACCCAGAGCACTTAGCTGCCAGAAGGCAGTGGAGGGACGAGTGCCTCATGCGACTCTCCAAGCTGAAAAGTCAGATGCAGCCCCAGTGATTGTCTTGTAATGTGACTGCCACTCCTCTTGTTGGAAGTCCTATGTGGGGAAATTAGGAGCCCTTAATCAGATCTTCTGACAGATTCGGAGCTGCTGGGCTGGGCCAGGTGGTCTCAGTTACTTTGGATCTTAGCCCGGGGCTTGGATGTTGCAGCAGCACTTGGGTTCTGAGAGTTGTGGATTTCCTGCCACCTGGCAAAGTTTGAGGATTATCACCTTTTATGTTCAGCATGATTACATGTGGCTATATTTTATCGCCAGTGATCGTAGTTTCATTTGAACCTATGACAGAATATATCCATAATTATTTTCTGATCTCTTTCTGAGTACTCTCTGGTCTTGCATTTATGAGGCAACTACTTTGATTTTGTTAATGATTATTCTGAATAAAGCTTATAATCCCATAAAGACGTTCTTGTTCTGCTTCTTCCTGAGAAAGTCTGTCCATCCTGATGGCTGCTATATTTCAGAGTCACTTTGCTCTGGGTCCTTTGTCATTCAGCTAAAATCCAGCAGTTTGGGCCAATGTTTCCCAGAGTAGGAGCCGCAGTGCCCCGTGGCTCTGTGGTCAGATGGTGTGTGGGAAACGCCATCCACTCCCAGCCTTTTGACACTGCCACATCTGTAGCAAAGCAAAAGAGCCAAAGTTCTATAGGAAAGGTGTTATTGCGTCTGACATTCCATCATCGGCTTTCTTTGATGTGAGGCCTTTTCCTAAATGCTCTAGTTCCCTAAATACTCTGGAAGTAACAGCACAGGTACCCTCATCTCTGTGGCCACATGAATCACAGTGACTTTGATCACCCAATGCCAGAGAAGGTTCCCCTGATAGCTGCCAGCCTTTAAGGAGACAGCTCTACCTGGTAGGGAGATGCCTTAGGGCCAGGGCTCTTGTGTTAGAGGCAGGATCCCCACTGAGCCATGTGGAGGTGGTGGTCTTGTCTGACATGTGCACACAGACTCATCACATTCATTGTCACAGCACGATGAGTGGCTGTCATGTGCCAAGCATTGCACATGCAGCTTCTGCCTTTTAAAGTCATGGGAAGACAACACAAGCATCACACAGGACTGGTGCTCCAGAGGAGTCCTGCATGCAGGGAAGCATGGCCAGCTCCTCCCCGGTGTACCCCAGAAGGCCTCCAGGAGGTGGCCAGTGAGGAGCTTGGGAACAGGTAAAGGCAGCCAGCCCCTCCTGGCAGAGGCCGAGTGGGGGAAGGGGCTGGAGGTTCTGGAAGGGGGGCTTCCCACCAAGGTGGAGAGGGGCTCTGGTGAGGAGGCCAAGGGGAACACAGTGATGGTTAGACCTTCAGAGCCAGAATAGTCTGCAGGTGGGGAGTGGCCCAATCCGATCAGGACCTCAGCTCATTCCGACAGGAGGGGCCCCCTGGAGGCAGAGTGCTGTGCCCCAGTGAGGATGGGTGTCAGTGAACCCAGCCCATCCTGGGGCAGAACTGACAGTCCTCCTGAGGACCAGAGAGAAAGGTGATGCCCCATCAGGGCCAGACGGTGACACAGCAACATTGATGTCATTTCTAAGATAAGGACATTGGAGACGGGGCAGGAATGTTAGTCCCCAGATAGGCAAACCTCACCAAGAAGATGATGTGGCTGACACAGAGGTTTTCTGCCCAGAAAAGGATCCTTCTCTGCAGCCGATTACACTTCAGTCTCCTAAGACTGGTGACTGAAACCTGGTCCCTCCCTCCCGTGTGATTGGAGTTTCTTCTCTCAGCAGCAGTGGGGGCCATCCTCATCCCCAAAGTTGGTTCCCTTGCCACATGTGCAGGTATTGTGCCTGCTGGGCTCCCCTGGTGAGCTGCAGGGCACCCACAGTGGCACCCTGTGCCTGTACACAGGACCATGTGGCACGGCTTAGAGCATGTCCTTTCATGTGTCTGAGTTCTGTCTTCCCATGGGTACTATCGAATATTAATATTTAGTGTGGACACAGGCTGCAGAGGAAGTATGTGGTGGCCTTGCTGGCAGCAGGTCCGACACATGGTGGGGAAGGGCCAGGGGGAGCGAGGCTGCGAGGCAGCCCCACTTCAGGGCCAGGACAGGAAGGCTGCTCGTGCAGGAGAGCAGCAGAGAGCAATTTGGGGCCTGGGCCCCATTTCAGGAGGGCAGTTTCAGAAACCTCAAGGTGGACCTAGAGGGGTAGCCGGGTCTGTGAGGCTAACCCCATCCAAACCAGGTGACAGGGCCTTTGGAAAGAAGTGGGGAGGCTCAAACAGGAGCAGCATCAGCCTGTGGGGAGCTCCCTACCCCTCAGTGTGTCCTGGAACAGAACTGGTGGCCTTGGGGCCTGGGTGCTGTGATGACAGCAGCCGTGAGGAATGATAGAAAAGAAGATGGACATGTCCCAGTAAAACTTGTTCATGCACAAGGAAATTTGAAGTTTGTGGAATTTGCATATATCGTGAAACTTAAAAAAAATTCTCTCCCCCTCCCCAACCATTTAAATGCAAAACCACTCTTAGCTGAAGGGTGTCCACCTGATCCCTTATGGACCAGACAGAGCAGGTAAGGTACAGGGATCAGAGATGCTGCAGTTGTCCAGGCCAGGTGCTAGAGGGTGGGAAAGGGATAGAGGTGCCGGGACTTGATGGCTCCAGTAAGGGTGTGAGGGAGGGAGAGCCTTGTGACACTTTCGCCATCCATGTCACAGGTCAGACCAGACCTGTGTGTTGCCAGTGACTCAACATTTGAAGTGGGCAAAAGTTTAAACTGCTGCTCCATGACAAAAATGAAATTTACAGCCTGAGGGAGGGAGACCACCAAGGGTAGACCCAGGGACATGCTGGAGCTGGTTGCGGCTGGAGAGACTGATGCTCTCAGGCAGTCCTGTGACCTCAGCTCTAAATTGCCCAGCCCAGGCCTCATCACATGCCCACGAACTCTGAGGAAAGGATACTTCCGAGTACAGGAGCAGGTGCCTCCCCTTCCAAACAGTGTGGTGCTGCCATATGAGCACACAATCTCGTGCACACAATGGCTCAGAGTGAAAATGACTGTCACACAACTCCCCAGGGCAGTGGTTCTCAACCTTCCTAATGCTGCGGCCCTTTAATACAGTTCCTGTGGGTCTCGACAGGCTCGAGACCAGGAGCTTGGCCCCAGAAATACTCAGTGTTCGTGGTTGGGGGCACCCTACCTGATGTCTCTGGACCTCATGTCCATGTGGACTGTTTAAGGGAGGTGATCTCATTGTCACTGCAGTGTCTATGGCTCTGCTGTGACCACAGCATGCAGGCCCATGCTCCCACAGTCCTGCCTACACGGAGAGTGCCTCCCTGCTCACCCACAAGCCTCCCTGCGAACCCCTTCATATCACTCGAAGCTCAGTCCCAGTGCTGGGGAGGGATTCCGCTGGCTAGAGCACCACACAGTCTCTGTATAGTTCCGCCATCATAGAGGCCCCAACTCAGAACAAAAGCAATCAAAAGAAAGAAACTCTGATAGTGACTTGTCCACTAACACCAGAGCCCCACAGACGGGTAGCTTCACCAGCCACATGTACCCCTTGCAGTTCTGGGGATGGCAGAGCCTGAGGTCAGATGGTCTCTCCACAGTGTGTGCTTTTTTTCTTTCTTTCTTTCTTTCTTTCTTTTTTTTTTTTGCAGTTTTTGGCTGCGGCCTTACTCCTTTGAGTCACAGGCGCCGCCCCGTGTGTGTGCTTCTTATAAGCCACCTGTCCTTTCAGAGGAGGACCCCACCCTTAAGGCCTCACTTGACCTCATTACCCCTAAAATCCCAGCCTCCAAATGTATCACACAGGCTTAGGGCTTTAACAGTCGAGTTTGGAGTGCACGGCTCAGTCCATCGATAGAGCCCAGTAAAGGGCAGGAGGGAGAGTCCTGCTCATGACCAGCATGACACCCCTCAGACTCCCCATCCTGCCCAGCTGTGCTGCCGGGACCCCTCACATGCCAGTCCTCACTGCCCCTTCCCACATCCTTTCCCTGTTCCACCTTACTTAGACCAAGGTGGCTCCTGATGGTGTCTTCTGAAGCCTCTGAGATGACACCCTTCCTGGGAGTCAGGCTAGCAGGGAGGGGACCACACTCCCACGCTGCAACCCTGTCCCTACCCTCCATCTTCCTCATGGAGTCCTGACATTTGGGAACCCTGTGCCCTGTCTTCCCCATCTTCCACCTCAGTCCATCTATGGCTGTGATATAGGTGACAGGAGCACCCCGAGCCAGGATGTGGTAGGGCCAGAACTGAGCTCCGGCCGCCCACATCCAGAGGCCACACACTTTCCCCATGTGCAGAGCAGATTCCAGGCCAGGAGACCTCTGGGTCCCAGAAGTTTCTTCCTGGGGGTTGTATGGGGATTCACTGGGGATGTGAGTAGAAGGCCACACTGGCTGTGCTTTGGGCTGGAGTCAGAAGAGGTTTTGAAATATCTGGAAAGCTTTGGGTTGAAAACACATCAGGAGAGAGGCGGATTAATACAGGAGGGGGAGACGAGTGAAAAGACCCAGAAGGAGGGTGCAAGGACATTCTGTGGGCAGAATCTAGGTGGGTCAGGACTTAAGGGTCCAAATTCTATGGGCGTTACTGGGCACTCGCCACATGCCAGGCTGGGAACACACACCAGGCACCAACATGAGCACTGTGAGAAAGAGGAGATGTTAGTCAGGGTCCTTAGGTGTGTGTAGGGTGTGTGTGCATGCGATGTGTTTGTGTGGTGTGTGATGTGTGGGGTGTACAGAGTGTGTGGGGGATGAGTAGGTGTGATACGTGGTGTATGGAATGGTACAAGGACAGCTGTGATGGCCATTCCATAAAAAGAGTTCCAAAATTGGTTCAAGGGTGGAGTAGGTGCTGCCATGGGTGCACAGCTTCCCAAGGGAGTACTTTGAAGGTGGCCATAGTGATACTTAGCAATGAGATAGGTCGCACTTTTTCTAGGTTAGGTTCATGAACTTAATTGTCCCACTTCATATGTGTGTGATAAGTGGGTGTGTGGTGTTGGGGGAGTGTTGCAGGGGACATGTGCGGTGTATGTGATGTTTATACCTGTTGTGTGTGATGTGTATGGTACACGTGCGATGTGTGTGGCATGTATGGCATGTACGTGCTAGGGGTGTGTGTGTGTGTGCATGTGTTGCGTGCTGTGTGTGATACCCACGGGTCTGACCCAGAAAGGCTCAAAGGCCAGGGTGAAGAGCCTCTGTCCCGTTCATCCCTCGGAGCGGGTGTGGGTAAGGCCCTCTGAGTGCGACAGCAGCAGTGCTGGGCAGGGGACTCCGCTGAGCCCCTTGGTGGCCCGGGACCCGCGGGCTGTGCTGGTGGTGAGGAGGCGGCAGCCAGGATGGGAGGTACATGGAGGTGTGGCACAGACTCTGGTGATGGCCCCATTCTGGACTGTGAGGGGACCAGCCCTGGG